ACAAAAAATAACATTTATGTTAACTAATGTTGCTAAGTTTCAAATATACGCACGGCAGGTGTTAGGCATCAACGCTAAATATATCAGTAAGTTCTGTTTATATTTATGGCTCTATATTTTGTACGAAGAATATGTGGTCGTAAATTTTCTTCGTCTTCTTAAAGCTACATACCTCAAGACGTGCCAAAATATTTCGAAACTTGTAAAAACGTACCAAGAAATTACTTTAATGTACAAAGGAAGTAAAAAATGTTACAATTTAAGAAATCGTTTACGTGTCAAAAGCATTTAATGACTGATTTTACAGTATTTATCATCATATTTCTACTGTGTGACTAACGCAGTAATAGGGGATAATTTTGCATATTCTTGCCTTTTTTTGGGGGGGTTTCATTTATATGTGTCATTTTCATTGTGTAAAGTTCAATTGACAATCATTTACTTTTTTAAATATATTTTTTTATTTTATGAAATAAGTGTGAATCTGAAGGCATTCTGCTTTAAGTATTTCATATAAATATTTCAAGGGTCACGTGGGTTGATTAAATTTTTTCCTTGCATGTTCTTGATAAAAGTGTATATGCTTTAAACTGACATTAAGTGTTTTATTTATTTATTTTTGTTGTTGTTGGTGTTTTTTTTTCAAAAGCCCACGAATCTTGTTGTTTTGTTTGGGGGTGTACATTATAAAAGCAATGCAAAACTTGGTTGCATCAAATGCGTCTGTCGTCTGCAACTTATAAATGTTTATTCCTTTATTTACGAAGCAGCTCTGAATTATAAATCCATCCTTAATAATTATTCTATGGGTTATTGAATTATATCATATTCAGAGCTAGTTCGTAAATAGAAAAAAACATTAAGTTGTTCTTTTTATGTAGCTGTAAAATCAAACGTCTTCGCAGCCTGATTACTGCCAGTGAGCGCAAAAATTGCAAAATTGTTACTTATTTTATCGTGGGATAATATAGGGCGAAATATGAAATATAAATGAACACGCGCGCTGCATAAAGTGCGTTGACAAAAACACTGAAATTCCACTAGTTAATCTTGCACCAGCGCTTGATTCAAATCTTAATCATCAAATCTTCTGATACGAAATTTAATATTAACCAATTATGATAAAATCTCTGCAATGCGGCAATCAATTGGTATATTTATGTATTTATTTATACTTGTTTTATATCGTCAATAACAACAAGTTATACAACGTACATCAATTATTTGCAAATAATGCAATTCCTTCTGCACTCATAGATAATGACTAGCTGGCGGTATTCCCCACAAGTCCAAGAAAGTTTTCGGGAGGAAAAGGACCTTTGATGCCATCTAAGGCTATTGCCACAGAGCAGTTGAATTTGAGACATTATATGATAGTTTCACCTCCTTATATAACCAAAATGACAGTTTATATACAAAGACGAAATTTATTTAAAAACTCTCCCTTAATTAATTTCAAATTGCCGTTTTGGGTACCTCAGTCCAATCTACTTGACGTATGACGTCATACGATCGAATGCTATAGTACATCTTTTATTCGCACTAAATATTATTTTTGCACTCAAAATTATTTTTAGATTTACAATAAATACTAGTATTGTATTCTATCATATCATACACATAATGAAATGGTACGGAAGTTAGCATATAGGATTTTTAAGATCTTATTTTATTAGTTCGCCAATCATATGTCAATAAATGCATGTTGATATTTCATTGCAATATGCAAACTTTTATATATGATCAATGTTTTGTTAACTATCATGTCATTTTCTAAGGAGGTTAATGCTTTATTAGTCATCATACTAGTATACTGATTATCTATTTTGTTATAGATTATATTTGAGCCGCGTCATGACAAAACCAACATAATGGGTTTGCGACCAGCATGGATCCAGACCAGCCTGCGCATCCGCGCAGTCTGATCAGGATCCATGCTGTTCGCTTTAAAACCTTTTAACAAGTAGAGAAACTTATAGCGAACAGCATGGATCCTGATCAGACTGCGCGGATGCGCAGGCTGGTCTGGATCCATGCTGGTCGCAAACCCATTATGTTGGTTTGTCATGACGTGGCTCATTTTAACTTTGTAGATATAGAATCATCTTTGAATTACATGTATAAATGTAAACTCTTCAGTATTGGAGGAAAATAAAGATATATATAATATACCTCTTCGTCAGTTCTTGCAGACGTGAAAAGCATTTGTATAAACTCGTGAATCATAGTCTTCTGGTCACACTGGAATAGGCATTCTGCCTTTGTCGTCTGCTCAATGACTGGTTCATGCTCTGTTGTCATCTCTGTCGTCTGCGGACATTTTAACAAGTTTTAATATCAACATTTTCAAGAACAATGTTACTACATAATCATAAGTTAATAAAATATTTAAAGGTCCATTATGTGTAAGAGATGCTTTTATTATTTTTATTATTATTTCTCAAAAGCTATTTAATTTTGGTGTTCTTTTCTAGTATCCAAAATCCAAAATTTTACTCTTTGGCCGATTACCTAAACCATCTTTAACATCTGTTGCCTTTTGGCAATAAGTACAGTTAAAGTAGATAAGTATTTTTTTATGGAAATCAAAATACTACTACTACTACTTTTATGACACATTATTTCACATATATCGTTACTTTCTTCAGCTAATTAGCATCTAAAACCACTATTTAAACATTATAAAATTCTTGTTTGCCCTTTCTAAAGAAGTTAAAAAAACATTTGTTTCTGAGGTATAATGTGCCTTTAATACATGAATTTTGGTATTTTCTTCACTATTATATTGAAGTTACATAGAACATGCTAAAGTTTGTTATCTTACAAACGTTATCCAATACTCTCATTGCCAAGGTACTGTTAGAAAGTACGTAATAGAAAACAGGAAGACCTTTACTACCATATAAGAACTCTAACTGCGCCATATCTTGTAGAAAATTGAACAAATTTCATCAGATTCGTTCATTAACATTTATGTTGTTTGTGTGGGGTGCTCATTGGTATACATGTGTGTGATATACACGAGAATCCCAATTAGCCTATTCTTTCTAGACACATGGACACATGTAATTAGGTAATTACATTCCTGGAGAAATAATGTGTCCGTTTAAGGGCAAGATGTAAATCACCATTACTCGGGATCTTATCATTTAAAGTCTTTTCCATAAGACTTATTAGTAATTCCAGATGGAATAGCGGGGGATCGAATTCGCTGCTCCATGTCATATCGGAAAAGAACGGAGATTGACGAAGTTTATCGAATTGTCCCGAAAATAAGATAAATTATTACCTGAATTACCTTAAACCAATTTTAACAATACCTTTAAAAAGAATAAAATTCCGCCAACCAAGATCCAAAATAGACTCAAAATAACGACGAGTACTCTGCGGATAATTCTCTTCTTTCTATCAAATTCGTATCTGTGAGCCCTCATCAGGTTGTGTCGTATACTTTGCCATTCGTCTGCGTCTAAACTACTGTACAAAGTGAAATATATATTTGTTAAAGCAGCACGCCTCCAGATTCATGCTTATTTTTATGAAATTTTTAAAACTGTATTTAAAAGAAAAATAGTGTGAAGTGACCAAAAAACATAGTTTGCGTATTGCAAATGGCACTGGTAATCCGTGTAAGTTACCAAAATGTGGTCTAAATACGTTAAAAAAAGCTCTTACTGCTTAGTAACGCAGTAGAAATATAGTGATAAAAAAACAGCAAAATCAGTCCTTAATCGCACATGACATGAAAATTATTAATTGAATCTTAGATCTTTTTACATTTCTTAAAATCTTTGTAGATTTATCTCCAAATTAATTTTCTTGAAATATTTTGGCTCAACTGGGGGCATGCTGCTTTAAAGCAATGCGTGCACACACTTCTATGTTCAATTGAAACCCAAAATTGAAAAGAGCTCAAATGTATCTTCAGTGTACAATGACGATATATTTGAGATGCATGATGGGGTTATGTTAATCTGTTTATCTAAATATTGATTTTTTATTACAATTTTAGTCTTATTTATTGTTTATGTATTGTAAAAACTTTTTTGTTTTTGTTTTACGAAACATTAAAATTATGATTCCTGGAAACTCCAAATGAAAGGTTACTCTTAGAAATAATTATAACTCGAGTATACAGCAAGCTTCTTGACTTTTAACAAACTAAGAAATGCATAACGCAAAAAATGTTTATAGTGACACTATGCCCGGACAAGAGTTAAAATGTGTGCAAAGGTCAAAGTCAAAATAACGTTAAATTTTGCCATGATTGCTTTCAATTTTATACAGAACAAAACATGTATTTTATTTGAATTAAGCATTACACGCACATCGTCTTTATCCGTGTAGTTAGTTACTTGGTATAGCCACGTGACTCACAGGCAATTCTATAAATGAGCCGCGTCACGACAAAACCAACATAATGGGTTTGCGATCAGCATGGATCCAGACCAACCTGCACCTTGGCGCAGACTGATCAGGATCCATGCTGTTCGCTTACCAACCCTATTTCAAGTAGAGAAACTGATAGCGAACAGCAAGGATCCTGATCAGACAGCGCGGATGCGCAGGCTGGTCTGGATCCATGCTGGTCGCAAACGCACTATGTTGGTTTTGTCGTGACGCGGCTCAAATAGTCTTCATTATCTTTCTATTAATAAAAAAGAGGGGCTTTCGTTTTATACTTTGGGCAGTTGTTTTATTTGATCCGGAACATGTTTATAATAAATTGTTTGTCAATATCTTTAAATATATCGCCAATTCAGCCCAACTCTCGACAATGATAAAGGAGAATAATGTCACTTTAAACAAGCAATTTCGTGTACATGTAATAGATAAATGTACCAAAATTGTTAAACAATGTTTTCTTGTTTCGCAAATACTTAAACATTACTGAAGCTAAAATATTATTACCGAAAAAAAATATGCACTCATAGAATCTCCTAAATTTTCTTAGTGGAATTCGTTCAATAAGTCGACAATAAATACAAAGATATGTAAAACAATGCATGATGGATTTTGTTACTTACGTGTAATATCTGTCGGCGGGATCCACGAACATGTCGTCGTCTACGTCAGAGAATTCGTCATCTCTTGCGTCTTCAAAGTCAAGGTCAGACATCGGGGACACACTGCGACTTGTCTCGCAAGTCTGGTCTTCAGAATCTCTAAGTACGAGGAAAATAATTTTATAGTATACTTATAAATGAAATATTAAGAAATATTGATGAAATAAAATGCATGTTTTTATTTTCCGTATTTTCACAGTAAAAAAAATATTTTTCACTGCAATGAAATATATTTTCCGTATTTTCACTGGTTTCATTGTGCCAATAAACAAAATTTAAAATCTTAAAAGGGAAATCTTTCAAATTTTGAGGTGAGGGGTTTTGACATGTTGGGTTTTGTTCGTGTTCCCATTAGAGGAGAGGGGAGAATGAAATATATGTATGTATTATTGTGAAATGAATATAAGATAGCCGTCGACATCTGTTTGGTATTTATTTTTATTTCATTTTTTTAATTTTTTTTATTATATTTTTTTTTTTTTGGGGGGGGGGGGGTAAATGAAACATATAATTATATTATTGTGTAATTAATATGAGTGGACATTTGGTAGTATTTTTCACAGATTGGTCAGTGATGTCGCTCAAAGGAAATATATGTACCATGTATAATTACAAAACGTACTTGTTACACATTTAGATCAGCAACAATAAAATATTGATTTCACATAGTTTGTTTCGTGTAAAGGAGTGAAACAAGTTTGCCACATCCAAGTTCTGAACATGCAAAAATACAAAGACCATAGACATATTGCCACAATATTGCGTGAATTGACCTTCAAACAACCGTTGACAGACACAACTTAAGTACAATTACTTTTTGAATTGTCACTATATCATTTCATATCACTTTAAGCATTTATAAATGCTGCTAGAAACTCATTCTGACGAGAGAATGAGCTATTTTAAAGAGGCAATAGGTCTATCATTGAATATATATAAGTCTTAATAGTCTATATTGCGCAATAACGGCTATACTTGTACATTTATGCTTACTTGGCAGAAACCAAATATTTATACAAAAGTACTATAAAAACAAAATATTATATACTTTCATAATGTAACTGAACTAGTCTAGACGTTCTAATTTCAAACTTGAAATGTTCAGAAATGTTAAACTCGTATCGTCAAATGTTTTTATTGTGTTAGACTACACTCCTGTTGCCCACAATAATGTTTTTTGAATAGATCTTCAGCAATTTAGAAACAAAACATAAAGAAAAAAAAACGAGAAAGCAGCGTCTGAATATCTAATAAAAAAAGATTGAAATTTTATTTCCGTTGCCTTCGTAGAAAATTATAACCACAAATGCAATATTTTAATGCATACATTTTTTATACTAAATAAGGTGTTCTGTAATTTAGGAGCTCACGTGTTTTGTTCAAATGTAACATTATTTTTGATTTTTTTAAAATTTATACGACTAAAATGCCGAAACGAGCGATAAAATTTTGAATAATTTTACTCTAAATACTCTATTTTATTGACAGCTATTATCAATTTTATAAACAACTTACATATTATATAATAATTAATTCATTTTTTTATTCTGATAAAATTACATATCATCATCTCAGAACAGTAACGGATTAATTCCTGATAAAATTTGATAAAAGTTAACCCGTTACAGCACTATGGTGACGAATTATTGGCTTGAAGTTTCTAATAAAACCTGTCATTATGTAAATGAATATTCCGTTTACTGAAAGACCTTTCGCATTAAACGCCTAAAATGATCTATTTTGATCTTTTTTTATGTTCTTGTGTTGATTTTCAATGATTTGTAAATTAAGTCACGCCGGATAATTGCTACAACAAATTGCACAAGAGTGGATTGTGGAAGTCGAAATTAAATATGAATTTATAATTACATAAAAAATCAAGCCTTTTATAAGTTGTATCTTTAATAAATATGTATCTATCCGGATTTCTTAATTGGGAAAATACGTATGCCTACCAATTTTGCGTATGCAATATTGTACTCATCATACACCTTTTCTTGTTCATATCACGGTATAGATATTGTTCATGTCACGGTGTAGAACTATGCGCTATATAGGGGAGAAAAAAATAAATTTACCGTTCGAGTTCATCCAATTCTCTCTGCGCTTTAAAAGCCGCCATTTTAGCAGTCATCATACGAGCCTTCGCCTCTAACCATCTTCGCTTTCTTTCCTGATATTTGGTTTCCACCGCTCTCCAAAAACGCATTGCACTCGGATAATCGCAACATCCGGTTTGCGGATTGACGGTCATCTTAAGAACAGCGTATATTTCTAGGTCACTCTCTTTCATCAATGTTTATCATTCAAAAAGCTACATAATACCACCCTGTTTATGACAATGTGACCAAACTGCTGAAGGATCGCGGCGTCAATGTTGTCCTGATGTCATGACGCCAATGTTAGCGACCGACGTCATGACGTCATAATTATAACGAATTAAGTCCCCTGGATTAGTGGCCGCAGTATTATGATAAATTATCTAAGATACATGTAATAAATTTATTTATTAAATTTATTTATGTTTTATATTTATTTATTTTATTTTATTTATTTTATTTTATTTTATTTTATTTTATTTTATTTTATTTTATTTTATTTTATTTTATTTTATTTATTTATTTATTTATTCATTCATTTATTATTCATTTATTTTTTATTTATTTATTTATTTATTTATTTATTAAACTTATTTATTAAATTTATCAATTCATATATTGATACATTTATTTTATTTTATTTTATTTTATTTTATTTTATTTTATTATTTTATTTTATTTTATTTTATTTTATTTTATTATTTTATTTTATTTTATTTTATTTTATTTTATCAATAAATTTAATCAACAAAAATATTCAGTTACCTTTTACCAGTTAACAATTTTGCCATAGCGCTATTTGACTTCGTTATTTTCATTGACTTTCGTTAATAATGTAGCATCTTTTTATTACGATACCGAGTAAGGCAATTACAAATTATTATCAAATCTAGTAAATAACTTGCCTATTTATGATTTTTTGCTTACATCATGCGCATTTTGTCTTCACCGCTCCCGGATCCCCGTACATTATCTTCTTCTACAGCTGTCGTCATATTTTTGCTATATGTGCCGATAATATATGTTGCAGTCGCAACGGTATTCATAAACATAAGGATGGTCTATTTTTTTTTCTTTTTGTTTACTTCAAATGTATTAACAATCTCTTGTTAACATGTTAAATGTTAATTTAATCACCTTAAAATGACCAAAAACACTGCGACATCTAGTGAATTTAGCAATTTAAATATTCAGAAATGCGCGCAGGCGCGGCTCTTCATGTAAAATATTTTTAAAGGTTTTTCGGGGGCATGAAAAATGGGGTTTTCAAACAACTAATTTTTGTGCCCAAAATATCGTCTTCATTATTGCTACTGACGTAAATCATTTACATGTATATACAGGATTACCTTTCATTATGAAACTGACAGATATACCTTTGAAAATGACAATTGTGAAATTCGTGACTGTTTATACAATTATGATATTTTTGCCATGGATATATGGAGGGGAATGTCCGCCATAATTATGTATCTTGATGACATATTTATATCTGTATGTTTCAAATCCATGTATGTTGATTGCATTCTTATTCATAGATTTGTTTACTATCATGTGACTATTTCAAACTGTGTGTATGCCTCTGCTCCTTTGTCAATTTCTGTTTATTTAACGGACTTAAAACATTGCAAATGCGCATGTATGATATAGTTTCATTGCACATTTCTATAAATTTAACAGAATCATTATTTCAATTGCATGTGTGCTATCACCAGGTTGTACATTGCTTCTCACTTGACAGAATTTGTGTAAATATAATATAATATACGTGATGAACAAGTTCTATTGTTACTGGCTACTGCCTAGTGATATTTTTGTTTAATTATTTTACTACTTCTATTCTTGAAAAGAATACAAAAAAACACGTTTTTTCCCAAAATTAAGAAATTTTTAAAACCCGCAACAAATGGTTATTGAAAGTAGCATGTAAAACGCAAGAACTTATATAAATGGGACATAAACGAACACAGTCATTCACAGTTACATAAATCTTATCAACCAGTCAAGCTCATCCCAAAGATAAGACCATTAATTTTATTCAGTGAATTACGGAATTCAAAATTTATAGGGTTTTTTTGGTTGATAATAACATTTAAGGACATAACGCTATGCCTTTAATGGCTTTTTCCATAAAATGTTATCACAGGAAAAAGTTATCACATGCCAATTGGAAAAGCCGGTATCCGGGATCCTTTTTGATACATAGTAAATTTGTGAGTTGACAACCTGTCAAAGGCGTCATTGATAAACTATTCCAGCCCAAAAGATTTGTTATGTTATAATTGTAAATAAGTGTGAAAAAGGGAAATAATTATAATGATAGTCATGTACAGTATACTACAGTGTGTGTTTGTGAGTGTTCATTTGAATCTATTTATTCCGGTTGCCCATATTGGTGAATCCTCCATAAGAATATTAGTCATTGGATAGGTTTTAGGAAAACTCTACAAGAAGATTATCACACCATCTGATATACGTAAGAACTCCGGTTTTATCCACTAAATAACCAGGGTACGTTAAAGTAACAGCAAAGTTATCTATAAAAATATTACTTAAATCGAGTAATATTCCCTTTGACGATATATAAAAGTCACGTGGGTTGGCTACATAAGGAGAGGTGTTAAAATTTAATTGCAATACATGTTTTGTTCGCCCATTCAAGTAATATAATGTATAATAGACTTTCAAAAACAGTTATTATTCAGAGCGGGCGCTATGGTGCAGTGGTAACACTGTCTGCCTACCAATCAAGGGGTCGTGAGTTCGATCCCCCGCTACTCCACTAAAAGTATGAAATGACTACGAGACTGACGAAACTAGAACATAGAACATTATTCAAAAGACCTAACGGAAAGGAGGAAAAGAGACAGAGACATAACGGAACAGACTGGAAAAGACATACAGATATCAACAAATACTTAACAGAGCATTGAACAAAAAAGGATACGGAAGTGACCAAAAAGATTTAAAGACACAAGCACATCAACGATACAGACAAGAGGGACACTATCAGATCAACTAACGAAACACGTTACAAAGTAAAGGACTATGAGATTACAACGGACTAGTCCACAGAACACTGAATAACGGAACGGTAAACACAGTACACAGTACATGACAAGACATAATCTACAGGACCATGAAGATCGAAACGGAAAAAACGGTAATCACTACATGACAAGGCACAGTATACAAGACACTTCATAACGGAATAGTAAACACAGTACATAACAAGACACAGTATATACAAGACACTGAATAACGGAACAATAAACAAAGAACATGACAAGACACAGTCTACAAGACACTGAATAACCCGTTGAACAATAAACAAAGAAACAGTCTACAAGACACTGAATAACGGAACAATAAACAAAGAACATGACAAGACACTGAATAACGGAACAAAAAACAAAGAACATGACAAGACACAGTCTACAAGACACTGAATAACGGAACAATAAACAAAAACACAGTCTACAAGACACTGGATAACGGAACAATAAACACAGTACATGACAAGACACAGTATACCAGACACAGTTAATAACGGAACAATAAACATAGGACATGACAAGACACAGTCTACAAGACACTGAATAACGGAACAATAAACACAGAACATGACAAGACACAGTCTACAAGACACTGAATAACGGAACAATAAACAAAGACACAGTCTACAAGACACTGAACAACGGAACAATAAACACAGTACATGACAAGACACAGTATACCAGACATTGAATACAGAGAACACAGTGCACATAGTAGTGGACAAGCCACTGACAACAATGGAAATAACATAAAGACACATAACAATCAAGAAATGATGCATTTGAATCAACGTTTGATATCCGTCACAATACAAAACGGAACTTTAAAAAATCGAGTTAACAGGTAAACAAACAGGTAAACAGGTAAAGACACGACAAAGACACAATGACATCAACAATATTAAAAGACAAACACATACAAATAGAAACCTAAAGATATACTATACTCATCCTTGGGTAATTTATTTATTTTAATTTAATTTATTGAAATCTATGAAACTTACTGAATAAAAGAAACTATTTTCCTGTTACAGCCCAAAAAAGGTCTTTGTTAATGACACTATATATTCACATCACTTCCATATAAAATTCTAATTCACTAAAATTAATCGAATTGCCGACAGAGCAAATGAAGCAAATAAAATTCATCTATATGACAACGAGTATTTTTTGGAAAGTGTAGCAAGATACCAAAAATAAAATTATATTGAGAAATATAAAGGATAGCAAATCTGAGGCATAATGGGCCTTTAAAGGAACGTATGCTCTAATTGTAATAGATGAAGTACCATTATATAATTTCTTTATTGACAATTCTCATCACGGCTTTGACCAGCACAAGTTTGAGGGGAAAAAACATGGAATTTTCTAAATAATTTTCCTTTTACGCATAATATTAGATCTGTACGTTTACCGGAAAAATGTCCCAGAAAATAGTTAGACCCATTTTGTTAAAAAAAGAAATAATAACACAGACTATTACTTAAAACGTGATGAAAAAATGTATTCTGGGTTTGCGAGAAGTTGACATATAGGAACAGTAACAATATTTTTCGCATGAAAGCCTCATTGATATACAAACGAATTGAATCCTCTTTCATAACAATGGGATATGATGTTTTTCTTCTACAAAATCAAATTAAATCTGGGAAATGTTTTGTATTATATAATTCTTATGTTTCCCCAACACCCCTGCATTGAGTACCATTTAAACATACTTGAGGTTTTCATCAAAATATATTTTAACAAGTTAAAGCACGGCTTACAGGATTTCAAATCTTTGACCCAGTCGGAAAGCTCATTTTGTTTTTTGCTGATGTTTTTTTTTTTTAAGTGAAAAGGCATAAACATGTGTCAATAACAGATTTCATTTTATAAACTTTACTTTAATATTTACGTTCCTTCAATTTGCTCCTATTAATTGCTGGTTCTGGACATAGTTCTCGGAAAGAAAGTGCAATTATGCGATATTTGAAAATTCCACGACAGATTGTCGGCAGTGATCTTGGAGTAGAATAAACAAATTGGTAAATTTTACGCAACACCGGTTATGCAATTGAACGCTCCTTAGTAACGCTTAACAAGTGTGAATTTGAGTAGAAGAATCTCTGAAGAGTATTTTAATACATGTCAAGAGCCACTTGTTCCCGGCTCAATAAACTGAACAACATCTGTTTATGTCAGCAGACTTCGAAATATAGTGCCTTATGTCTTTACCCAGCGAAATTTCCCACATTTGTAGTGTGTCTCGATTTTTGAATAGGGTCACTTTTCGCACTTTTCGAAGAAGTTCGAAGAAATCAAATCAAACTTTCTTGGTGTTTCAACAGTTTCAAGGAAGCGATTTTTGGAATATTTTACAAAACGCGAAAATATAAAAGACTTCTTCGCGTAAATAAGAAAACTTGAAACATACAATGGATAATTTTTAAAGAGTGAATTTTTGTTTTACGAAAAGCGCCTTTAAAGTTTTAGGTCGTACAAAAATGTCATTTTAGTCGGCAAATAATTATCTGTGATTGGTTGTCGTATATATGAACAGGACGAAGTATCATTTAATCAAATATGAACTACATCTCATTGAGTCGTGTATAGATAGAGGAAAATTATTATAATTTAGAGTAAGATGTATTTGATATCATACTATTGTTTAATATTTATCATAAAAATACGATATAGCTTACTTTTGATCGAAAAGAATAAGTTTTATAATTTGTAAGCGAAAAAACTAATATAGGGTTAAAACTTAATAAAAAATGGAGAATCACGTGATTTTAATGCAAATTATCACGTGCAAAATAGCACGCATGCACAAATTGTACAGAAAAGCGAACTATGTGTCTAGTTTTATACTAAATTGCAATTTATTCGGCAAATGTTTCCAACCTTTACAGTGTCCTTTACTTCCAAATGTTTTATATTACATTTTAGTTTACCTCGATAGTTTTTTGTAAAGGTTTTAAATTTACCTAACATATTTATTTTTTTAATTTTTCAGAAAAACGGCGACGGTGACGACGACGACGACGAGGACGCGGATCGAAAAAATGTCGGACAAAGCAGCGCCGTAGAGCTTCAACCCATTGATTCCAATGCCACATGCCCGTTAACGGACACAGAAAATGAACCTAGCACCTATCTTCAAATGAAACAAGTCGCCGAACAGATCGCTAAAGAGTGTTCTAACGGGGAACTTTTCCAACATGCGGGTGATACCGTTGATTTACCTCCGCCCTATGAAAATCTAGATAATGCTGATAACCATTCCTTAATAAGCAATAACAGTGATAAACCCAATGAGGAGAATAATGATAATAAAGACCCAGATAGAAATAGTGACCGACTCCCTGATCGACCTCCGCACGAGGACTGGGCACACAAGGCGGATTTCTTGCTTGCGGTTATAGGCTATGCCGTTGACTTGTCCAATGTATGGAGGTTTCCATATTTATGCTACAGAAATGGCGGGGGTAAGATTTTTTTTCTTCTCTTTTTCATTTTCACAGCTTTTCTGTAACAGAAATTATGAACGTCTATTAAAATTGATGAGTTCTTAAGTTATGTTGAACTAAATCTGAGAAAAATAATTACTTGGTCAGCAAATATTGCGTGTGGTCTAAGGGGTTAAGTTTTCCCAGATGCGGACATTAAGTATTTTAAGTGCTTTTGGTGAATTATTACATTTCAAATATATCTTTTATTTTTACCGCTGGAATAATGATAGGAAAATTAATTAATGAATTCCATTTCTCTCTAAGCAGAAGTATAATTAGCGCTGGAAAGAGAGGGTTGAAATATTTATGGCTTCCTAGTCTACATAACTGAAATACCGGAAGCCGTTCCTTTTTATTCGGCATACCTTTAGGCTATAAATTTACCAATAAGCGTTACCGAGAATAGGTTATGCCACTCGCTAATTATAATTATGTAGAAATGTTCGCTATTTTTTTAATTCTTCAAAATCATGGATTTATTAATGGAAAGTTGTGTTTTACTTTCGAAGAGTTCGAGAATAAACTACACAAAATATATTGCATTCATAAGTTAAGATAAAAATCCCTCATAATTATATCATCTTCCTGAAAACTGATAAAAATCTTTTATAAAAATTGGTGCTATAATAATATTTTCATATGTATCGCTTGAGAATTCACCATAATCATGTGTTTAAATTGATTTTTTTTCATAATTTGTCAATTATATTATATAGAATATTGACATCTAAAATGGCTGCCACATTTGGCAAGGGAGGTAAATATTGTAAAAGTTGGGTACAATCTATAACCAAAGGGTAATTTTCGCCGTCAATGGGGCAGATGCATCGAACATTACTTTGTTTCTTTATCGTTTGTTAACCATTATGATATAGAAACTTTCGTAAATAATTTTGACATATATGACAATAATAATGAATTCAGTATTGTTTTTATCACTTTTATCAATTAAAAAATTAAGGACATGGAAATCAAGTAGTCCATTCCCCGGTTTCATGATTTGGATCACTACTGCATCAAGGCTATGGAAAGTTTTACAGAATTCTCTCAGGATTTGCATGAATAACGAGGACTGTTCAGTATATAATGAAAATAGTCTTGTAAATACAAAACCTCTGTTTGTGCGTTATGAAACTTCACTAACAGAAAATACAAAACAATAGTTTTTGGCGCCTATATTTAATAATGACGTCATGACGTCATGTAATAATCAAATCTCAAAACATGGCGTCACTTCCTGTTTGGTTCAAAATGGACATCACCAGAGAAAATCAAATATTTTACGTTTTCACAAGGCAGCTCGGAGATAAATTGAAGAAAATGCATGATGATTTATTTGTTGTATATGCAGACCTAGCTGTACATTCTGTGTCGGTTTCTGACCAATCAAATGCCTGAGATTACCTCGGGACCTATGAACGGTGATCGTAGGTTTGTTTATCAAATGTTTCGTCGAAAATACCCTTAATTCTTAAGAATAATCCATAGATAACAACATTGTAGAATAACATTGTTTTTTGTTCATATTTCACGGCTTTAAAATTAACTTTTTTCTTATAAAATCATATTTTCAGGAGCGTTTATTATTCCATATTTTACGGTTCTGATATTTGGGGCGTTGCCAATTTTCTTCATGGAGTTATGTCTAGGACAATTCCATCGCGAGGGACCAGTTACAGTCTGGAAAATTGCACCTATGTTTAAAGGTAATTCCATACTCATTTCTGTCATATTGTTGTAAAAATATGTATGCTTTGTTTTGATATCGTCCACTGTCTTCAATACCAAGTGAATTTAGAAAAAAAATATCAGTAACCCTAATAATATCAGTAATGATAAGTGAGACTAAAAACAGTGTTGGAGCACCACACTAAATAGAGCTACTGTAGTCCGGTATATACCGGACAATGCGCTTGTATGATTAAATATCAACAATTCCGCCTTTTCATCTGCCGAAGTCACTTTAGAATGTCTAATTCATCTCTTCAAGCACATAATAATGAATGAAAAATTTAAAAATCGGCGAAAAAGGCGTTTTTATCTACTTTGTCTGTCATCATGATTTCTGCAAGCGTCTAGAGGTTCTGCTCAAAACCGTAGTGAGTTAGATACAATGGTTATCTACTGTAAAGATGGACAGACTGGCCTGGCTCAAGTCTGATGGTACAGGTCTGCCAAAACTGTAATGTCACTTAATTTCGTGGGGATTTAATTTCGTAATTTTGTCAAAAAGGACATTTTCGTGTGTTTTTGAATTAGTGGATGGTCTGTTCTTGCAAAACAGTGAAATCCTAGACTTAATGTCATACAAAAATAATCTTACAGTCCACGAAATAAAAATTCATTGGATTTTAATTATAAATTCGTGGATTAACCTATGCACAAAAACCACGAGAATAAGTGTCTCGCGAAATATAATGATTTTGTAGTATGGTCATTTTACAAGATGTACAAGTATGCAAATTGTACGTAATGAGTGCTGATGTACACTCAATCATAATTCAAATGCCCGTTAAAAATGATATGAAAAGAGAATAACGCACTTCTGTTTGGGGGGTTTGAAGGGGGGCGGAGTCCCCCTCATCGCCAAGAAAATTTTGGACTTGTGAGAGGCTATAAATTACCCCAGATTGATCATAAGGTAACGTGTAAGCAACGCTGAAAAGCATTTGACTCTATCTCAATCCATTGAGAAGTTGCAGCACTTTGAAATCAATTGTGATGGAGAAAATCAACGCAAAATAGTGATTTTTGGCAATTTTGAGATGTCCCCTCGTTGCCATGGTAACAGAAAATTTAAGCCTGAGCATGTTGTTGCAAGGGCAAGGGTCCAGTCAACATTTGGGCCAAGTTTGATTAGTGTTGAAGCAGTTTTTATAGTATTATAGCAATTTGAACTTGTAACGGGAGACTTTTCAATGAAAACAGCCATTTTTCACAAAATGCTCATGAAGTAATGGGTTAAAGTACGTTTGTATAATAATCCCACAGTCCACGAAATAAGATTTCGTTTGAATTTAAATCCATGGAATGGCTATTATCGAAAACCACAAAAAACCATGGCCCCACGAATAATCATGGTTTTATATTATTACGATATGGGTTTAATTTCAGGAATCGGGTATGCCTCGTGTTTCATGGCGTACCTTGTCGCCTTTTATTACAATGTCGTAATTGGCTGGGCTTTCTTTTACCTATTCTCCTCATTTACATTGGACTTGCCCTGGAAAACGTGTGATCACGAATGGAATAGTCCAAATTGTTGGAAATTGAGGGAGGGACAATTCAACATATCGGACGGCAATGATACGGACGTCTATACAAACCATTCCGTATCCTCCTCGTACGAATTCTTTGAGTAAGTCACATATTTGCTTCCGTAGTTTTTACCTTGAAGAGTTACGTAAAAATATAATATTCTATTCGTATGAAGTTTTTGGGGAACATAAAAACATATTAAGTTTTTCCTTCTTAATATTGTTTGAGTAAATTTAAAATGTTCTTTCCTCAAAATGAATGTGATTTAATTTGAATACACTCAAAATGTATCGTATGAGTTTCTAAGAAGTAGTGGATATGTGCTGTACTTTATTATTGTGTTGTGTTGTAATGTATTAGCTTGACTCCGATAAAATGCACTGCATTTCATTACACTGTAATACATTACACTGCAACTACACTACATTACACTGTTATATAATACACTGCAACTACAATACACGACATTGTACTACAGTGAAAAGCAACTACACTTTATATTGCATTATTTTTACATTACACCGTAACTACAATACACTGCAGTGAAAATCAGCTATACTTTACATTGCACTGCACAACTGTGTAAAGGTGTTCGTTCAGGTGTATTATGTGAAGGTGCCTAGTAATTCATCAGCAGAAATAATAATAGATAGAGGATATTTGTTTAGTTCAGTGTAAGATCGGAATATATTTCACCGAGTGAGCACCCAAAGGTATATTTCACGAGTGGCGTAGCCACGAGTGAAATATGAACTTTTGGTGTTCACAAGGTGAAATATATTTCGATCTTGCACTAAACTAAACAAATTTTCTTTTTATTACATGCAAAGAAACGTTTTAAAAAGACATTAAACCTAATACTGAATGAAAGCGCGCCAAATAATAATACAACGTGACGTCATTTACGACGTCACGTCATTAAGTTGGTACCCAGTTCTGTGCACGCTGGTATTTCACTGAAACAACGTAAGGGGCTTAAATTCAAAACAGTGAAATTATCAAAGTGGTAATTTCACTGTTTCAAACAGTGAAATTACCAATTTTATATCACTGATATATTTCTATAAACCACCGAAAAGCATGTAATAAAACAACTTTATTTGTACATCTTACATGATTATCTTTAACAATAATTACCAAACTGTGTTCCAATACGCGGAAAGCATTATGAAGTATGAAATTCACCGAAATGAAACTTACATTCACGAGGTCCTTTTTTAAAATCTCTTTGCAGGCGTGGAATGCTGCGGTTACATTTGAGTCGTGGGTTGGATCACCTGGGGTCGGTACGTTGGGAACTAGTCCTGTGTACATTGCTCACATTCATCTGTCTCTATTTCTCGTTGTGGAAAGGGGTCAAAAGTTCGGGAAAGGTGAGATGTTGTTCTTGTATCATATCATTGCTTTGTAATACATTTTGGAGATAAAAGAAAGCATGGAACTTGGTTACTTTGCTATAAATTAAAGATCTAAAAATTGAAACGTACTTGGTAAATCAATTTCTGAATTCTCCAGACGAAATAGGTACACACATAATGTGAACGAAGTAAAATAATTTAAGAGGTTGAAATAAAAAATTTAAAATTTCTTTAAAGTGAAGATTCCCACATAATGTATTTTTTACAACATTCATCCCAACTTACTTGAATAAACGCTAGAGACATGGCTTTTACCTTTCATCGTTTATGTTATCCCATTTCGCAATACATTATTTTTTTGCATTTTGTCCAAGAGCTAGAAACATGGTTTTAAACCTTCATTGTTGATGTTTCACTTTTGCTATGCATTTAAATTTTTCCATTTTTTCCGAGTATCATAATTAATACCAAGGCTCATAAAGAATGCCTAACAATATCATCTAAATTCTTCAATATAAAAAACATATTTTGATCTTAACATTGTCATTCTGTTTTAGCATAATACATTTTATTAGCATCAGCAACATTCATTCAGTTAAAGAGTGCAACTTTTGTAAAACCTTTGTTCATTCTATTATTTCAAAAACCTACAGTCATTTTTTGTGCTGCGAACAAATTGCATTAAGATTATCTTGTGGTCTTGCCAGCTTCTAATATTCCCTGAAGACCTTAAAATGGCAGCTACATAGGTTTTTCAAATTAACAGAGATGCAACTGCATTATCTTGAAAATACCGTGCAATCAACATCAATTTGCCAATCTGCAGTAAACGAAAATCAAGAAGGTATACAACCTTCATATAACAATTCTCCTAATCCCCAAAAATGTTGTGTTTTGTATTACAATCGGTGAAGAACTCTTTACATTGAACGTTTTTGTGAAAGCGTGGGCTTCAATTGGAACACCTTGACGATTATTTATAATAATATCGGAGTTCATACGCATTTAAATGTGACTTGAGACTCGGCAAATCCCAACATTTACGTAACTATTTGTTTACGTGTTGAAACTTTTAGCGTAGGCCAGACCGACATACCGTATCCGTTCATACATATCCAAAGATTGATGGATAGGGCCAAGTTGTCATTGTGTGGGAGAGCAAGGGTGGACTTTTATAAGGAAAGACAGGCGTTCGTGGCTTTATTTCTTTCACAAAATTGCAAGTGGAATAAATACTTACATCTAAATCTATACCCACCATTTTGACTTGACTTATTAATGCTTGTTTCGTATACTGCAGTTTGACGATTGATGTTTGTAATTTTGTTTATTTAAACTAACAAACCTGTTGCAAAAATTTAAAAGTATAGTATAATCATTGTCAACTTCTTAGCCAAAATTCAGTGCTTGCGATAATAGTAATTGCAGGAATGCCTTTAAATAAGCTTTATTATTGATGAATTTTCGTGGATGATATTGATTGCATAACATTTGAACTTTGAAACATTGCATTTAGTACAATTTCTTGGAATGATAACCAATGTTTGGATACAGTTTATTTTATAAGGCGGATCTATTATTTTTTTTAATCCTCAACCGACTGAAACCGAAACTGACGAGTTTTTGTTAATTAACAGTAAAGAACCAGACCAAATTGTACATCTGTGCAGTCTGACCAGGCTCAATTATGTTGGCTGACTAACTTAATTTTCTTCATAATATCCCGAAAATTGATATCGAAAAGTCCCTTAAAATGGAAGTTGGACTAGTCCATCCGAAATTTCAGCAGTTTAATTCTTAATAAAAATTAAATAGAAGCAAACGTAATAAAACATAGATACCGTGCTAAATATCTTAACAGGAGTTCTCAATTTTTAGGGAAATTAAAAAAAAAAACTGTCTGAATAGCGAACAGTAGACCATCATATGCCCGACGTCGGATACCCACGGTTGATTAACAGGTTATCAGGTTCGACCGTGGGTATCCGACGATGCAGACAGGCGCTTAGGATGTGTCGGCTTATCTTGGTCTACGCTTATCGCATAAAAGTCATTTGGCGCCAGCAGGCAAAGGGTTGGTTTTGGCATGCCATTTGTTTAAATAAATATTTAAGTTAATAATATTTATATAGTATCATTGAAAACCAATTAATAATGAAACATTTTTGTTAAATACCTTGCAATATAGAATGGAGCAATAACTAAACAGTACGATTTTTGCTCAGACTAGGAAAATGTTTATAGGTGCAGTTATGTAATAACGATATACCGATATGTCTCAGAAATATGGGGTCGTATAAGTAATGGAAATGTGCTGCTATATATGCAATGCGCGCGTGTATTAATTATATGTTATGCAACAATATTTTTTGACAAAATATGATAATTTGCGACATTATTTTGTTATTTGATAAAAGTTGTTTAACAGCGTTGAGTGCGAACGTGCATAAATAATCATCATTAGGGAGAAATGTGTAGGAAACTATGAATATATGTTTCTTATATCATCATTAATTCATGGAGTTACGGGAATGTTGTTTGTAATTAAGACATAGAAAATATTTTTTAAAAACTAGTTCAAGGTAATAAAAACATAAATCTGAATCAGATTAATTTTCACGCACAGCATCGATTTAGAGCTTGCCAAAATGAGTAGAAATACTCCTATGTCTGTTTTATAAATGCATAGCGCTCTGACCAAAAAAGAATATTTGTCTTATGAATTCAGTGAGATACTAAAGTGTATTACATCAATAATATATTGGTTGAAAACGATTTTGATTGATTGATTGATTGATTGATTGATTGATTGATTGATTGATTGATTGATTGATTGATTGATTGATTGATTGATTGATTGATTGATTGACTCTGTTGGAACAAATGGGATGTTATTAAACAGATATAAGGCAATACAAAAATAAACAAATTATAAAACATTCAGATATAAAAGTATTTCATTTAATTAAAATTCGTGCCCGAAATTTTTCTCTCTCTTTTCTAAGCTATGATGCATTCTTTTCATTCAATTCAAATAAATAGCTAGGTTCAAGATATTTCCAGGTTTATCCCAAATATTTCAAGGTAGAAATTCTTGAAAGTTTTTTCAACGTTTGATTACAGATAAGGACGCAAATATGAATGAGAATTTAGTACGCACTGGAATATTTTTAGAATAATTAGAGATTAATGAAACTCATTTAGTTCATTTGGCAGACGACGTACAAACCAAACCTTTGAGGGGTTTTTTTTACGTTTCGATAGTGTTATCAAATGTAATGAAATTACGAATATTAGGTTGCGCTTACGAGTGCAAAACGTTGTTAAAGCGTCTATCGGATTAGAGAATTACATACGCGTGCCAAAACTTTTATTGACATGCGCAGATAAAAGGAAATGCGTTTCCGCGTTATACTTAATGGATACAAGATTTTAGCTGATGATTGAATTTTTCTTTAAAATATATGAGCCGCGTCATGACAAAACCAACATAATGGGTATGCGACCAGCATGGATCCAGACCAGCCTGCGCATCCGTGCAGTCTGATCAGGATCCATGCTGTTCGCTTACCAACTCTATTACAAGTAGAGAAACTGATAGCGAACAGCATGGATCCTGATCAGACTGCGCGGATGCGCAGGCTGGTCTGAATCCATGCTGGTCGCAAACCAATTATGTTGGTTTTGTCGTGACGCGGCTCATATATATTTTTGCTAAATGTTTAATTACATGTGTGTTTGTTCTGACGGTTATTCAAACAATTCATTTTAACAGTTATTTTCATTTGTTTAGTTTTCAACCTTTCATACTCTTTTTTATTACTAACATACATTATGTAGTTTGACATACTAGTGTGTATATGTAACATTCACGTATTGTTTATATACTCGTGTGTATTACTAACATGTACTGAAGCTTACGTACTTTATCTATTGTTTTCATTTACGTTAACTTACGTTACATATTTACTAGTAGTTTACGTAACATCTGCACCGCTTACATTTTCATGTAGTTTACGTTACATCTTCGTTACTTATATTAACAAGTGCGTTAACATTGTATCGTCATTCTCTATATTTTCATGTAGTTTACGTTACATCTACGTTACTTTTATTAACAAGTCAAATAAAATTGTATCGTCATTCTCTATTTTTTCATGTAGATTACGTTACATCTTCGTAACGTATATTAACAAGTCCGTTAACATTGTATCGTCATCCTCTATATTTTCATGTAGTTTACGTTACATCTTCGTTACTTTTATTAACAATTGCATTAACATTGTATCGTCATTCTCTATTTTTGTCATGTAGTTACATCTTCGTTACTTATACGAACAAGTGCGTAGTTTACGTTGCATCTTCGTTACTTATATTAACAAGTGCGTTAACATTGTATCGTCATTCTTTATATTTCCATGTAGTTTAAGTTACATCTTCGTTACTTTTATAAACAAGTGCATTAATATTTTATCGTCATTCTCTACATTTTCATGTAGTTTACGTTACATCTACATTGCTTTTAGTTTCATTCAGTTTACATTCATTACATATTTCTTAAAGCTTATATGTACATTTATTTCATGCTTTCCAGTGTTTTATTGTAATATATCAGATGATTATATTCTGATAAACCACTAGTGAAATTTATAAAATATAATTTTCACTGTAGCCGGACTATATCTGAATGCGGATGAAAAGAAAATCATAACTAAATGAAATAACAAGCAGAAATAATTGCCGTCATGCGTAAATTTTGCTTCTTTAGGAAAAGAAAAGTCGATGTCATCATACATCATGTAAAAATGTAACAAAATTAGAGAAAATTAACAGAACTATATTTCAAAATTGATGATGTGACGTCATGATATGATGACGTCACATAGGAGAATGTGTGACGTTACGCGGCAAAATCAGTAAAAATATACCTAAAATCCCTTAAAAAGCATAAAATAAAAAGAAAATTTATTTGTTTTATATATAAGATTGAAATATATTTCATTCGTGAACACCAGCTATTATATTTTCACTCGTGGCTACGCCACTCGTGAAAATATTGCATCTGGTGTTCACTCAGTGAAATTATATTTCAATCTTACATGCAAAACAAACAAATATCCTCTATGTAATTTATGTTTTATCCGTATTGCTTATAGTTACATGTAATTTACATAACAACTGCTTTGCTTACATTTCATAAAGGTTTTCGTGACTCCATTGATTATATTTTCATATCTATAATTTTCATATTTTCATAAAGTTTACGTTACATCCGTACTGCTTATATGTTTATGTAATTTACATAACATCTGTATTGCTTACATTTTCATAAAGTTTTCGTTACTTCGACAAGGTTAATTGTTAAGGTTAATCTACGTTACATCTATATTGCTTATATTTACAGGTAGTTTACGTTACAGCTAAATGGCTTTTATTTACATGTAGTTTTCGTTACATCGCAATTGATTGTATTTTAAAGGTTATTTACGTTACATCTTTATTGATGATATATGTTGAGGTAATTTACGTTACATCTATATTGCTTGTATTTACAGGTTGTTTACGTTACATCTCCATTGATCTTATTGTGAAGTAATTTACGTTACATCTATATTGCCTATATTTACAGGTAGTTTACGTTACCGCTACATTGCCGTATTTAATACTAACCATTCTACTGATCCGAGGATGTCTCCTGCCAGGCGCTATTGACGGAATCAAATATTTTATCACTCCAAATGTAGAGAGATTAAATGATCCGCAGGTAGGCTGTCATAATTCAGATTTATAAATAATATGTCATGTTTCAGGATTTGGTGTACCTGCACGTGTATGTGTGTGTAGCGATAGTTCATACGTGCTTGCGCGCGTTGGCACAATACAAAAAATGCAGTAATACTGTTACTTATTGTTGCACTTTGCATTTTAGATGTAATGAGTCAATAGTTAAATCATTCAATGTCTCTTGGCAAAATGCGTTTTCAAATTTTTATTTGGCAATATACATTTGTCATAAGGCAAGAAGTATGTGTGGAGCAATAATGAAATAACTCAACACATGGTTGAAAAGCAACAGCATGCACGTATTGCCTGTTATCCCCTTCCACAGGATATTCCCTTCAAAAGGATATCTCTTCCACTAGATATACCCTACTACTGGATATCACCTTCAACAGGATATCCCCTCCACATCATAGCCCGTTCGAAATGATATCCATCCCCTTCCACACGATATTCCCTTCCATTGGATATCTCTTTCACTGGATATCCTTTTTCCACAGGATATCATCTTACACAGGATTTTCCCATCCACAGATTATCCTATTCCAAATAATATCATTTTCCACTGGATATCCTTTTTTACATGGAAATCTCTTTCTTCCAGTACAGGATATCTTCTACGTGGTACACACACAGAATATGTCCATTAACAGGATATACGCAAACGATAATAGAGTTACCTTATCTACAAATTTATTGTCGCAGCTATCATTGATAAGAAAATTTCAAAGTATTAAACAAAAGTTAGGTACTGATACACCTATAGATATATCAATAAACTTGATATTTAATGCGGAAAAACCTCTTAACTGTAACCACAAATTTGATTGTTTTCCCTCGGCTAATTTGTTTATTGTTATAACTGCTTTTCTCAGTAGTTTTGCTGCAGGCGGTAATTTATTCCTGGCAAAAACCGGCATGTTCAGCACCACGGATTGCAGTTCTGCGGTTAATTTTTTGGTGTAATATCGTACTGATACACCGTTCTGGTAATGACACCATGCTAGTGTAAATGACGAGTTCGCTTGCCCTTTTTGCACCCTTAGGATTATGTCTGTGATACTGTTTAGTTGTTTCTGTGTTGTTTTTTTTGTCGTCTGATGGTTTTCAACTATCAGTGATTTATATTGCATCGGCTACTTATTTGCAATTTGTAAGGGCATTATTTTTTATAATAAATAAGATGCCAAATATTATTTCAAACTGTTTTGCTTGATGCAAATGTCTCATATAATATTTGCATAATACTTCTTAATAACATACTTTACATGACTTAGCTGGTCAGACATGCGAGGATTGTTTGATAAATTCGTGGAAATCACGTCTTGATTTTATATTTAATTGCAGAAAATCATGAAATTAAACAGAAATACATAAAGTCTCTTTATCACCTTCTCTGCATAAATAGAGTAAATATTACTAGTACTCAAACGAGTGTCCAGTTTTTCGTCTCTAAAGCAATTTATATAAAGAACATTGCCTTAGCTCGATTGTGATTAATGTATAATTGGAGCTATTTAATGCCGCGTCAAAATGGCGGGAATTTCTCTAATGTTTGGGTGACGTCATGACATCATTTCCTGAAAGTCAAAAAGTGAGAAAAGTGTTCAGACCCGAACCCGGGAACCCAAAAACACCTTTCGGCGGCTGTACCGACTGAGCTCACACAACTTCATCTCTAAAAAGTGAACAGTTCTGAACATTGACACGAATTTATCGAACAATCCTCGTTTTTTTCGGCATCAGGAATCGGCGTGAATTGTTGATGGCTGGTAATGTTTTAAGAAACTTCAGAATATTTTGCTACGTCAAATATCCTTTGACTTAGAGATTGCATGCAGAAAAAATGCCCGCAATTGCCCTGCCTTATTTGTTTCGCTTATTAGCGCACTCTGGTGACACAATTCAGGCAAAACTAATTCGTTTGTACATACACGTGAGTGACATGAATAATTCACTCATTCTATAGAAGGATATTGGTATGCAGTATTGTCTACTTATCAATACTGACAAGTATATTGTACAAGATGAGTAAACCGGAGGTGAATGTTTGATAGCATAATATAACTTTATTCAACTCGTGCAATAAATTCAGTATTGAACTTATACTCATTCAATATCCTCTATATCCGCCACGATAACTTGGCGATGAACATGTATGTGTTATTGCCAATAAAATATTTCATTTGACATTTTGTTGGAATAAAAAATGTAATGTTATAAAAAAATCATATGTATTTCTAGGTATGGATAGATGCAGCGGTACAGATCATGTTTTCAATTGGTGCAGGGTTTGGCACGCATATAGCATATGCTAGTCATAATAAATTCAACAATAATTGTTACCAGTAAGTCTTTTACAATCATTCAGATGCGGCTTATCAGGCTTTTGAAATAGACTTCCTGGATGTATCCCTTGGATACTTTATCACCAAATGGAATGAAATTCCAAAGTTTTGTATTTAAATGTCTTTCTCTATACATCTGTTAATTAATAAAATTTATATATTTTAGTTCGTTGTACAGATATCTTCGTCAGTTTTACTGGTGCTTTTACTTTATATTTGCGCACTACCTCAACATATTTAATTTAGAAAAAAAGAAGATAAATATGTGATTTATAAAATTAATAGCAAACACCTTGATAAAGATTGGATTAACCCTAACAAAAGTCAAAGGGATAGAAACTAGACTGTGGCGAATTCTATTACAGTTGAAAAAAGTGAATGAAAAGTGTTTGGTGTTTAAATGTATCTTAATCATTCTGATGAAAGTGTCTCTTTGAGACATAAATTTCTTTACAAATCTAATTTATTTTTTATTTTTTCATTTGAAGATACGCTTCCCAAAAGAAGTAATCTTATTATTTATTAACGACGTTTATTAAATGAATAGAGAATACCATGCAAGTGTCTGATATAACAAAATTTATCAGGCAAGACTAAGAAAAAGAAAAAGAACCAGCCTCTGCCGAGCCAATCATTTTTTGTGCCGAGCCTGATATTTTTTATAATATATCATACACTTGTTTTGTATTCTATTCATCACGATTGCAATTTTGATATGCGTTTCTTTCTGAAAATTTCAAAGGAAAGGAAAAACCTGTAAAAATGTAACGGCACGATAAAAGATGTAATTCATAACTTTCAGTATTAATTAACTTACAATTTAGATAAAAGTTTATTAACATGTTCAATGATTTTTTTAATCACGGAGTTTTTGAAAGAAAAACACAACAACAATATTATCTTGATATTTTTCAGTGATTGTTTATTTACGGCGGCGGTTAACAGTTTCACGAGCATATTTTCCGGTTTTGTCGTATTCTCGTACCTTGGATACATGGCTGACAGACAACAGAAAGATATAGATCAAGTCGCACAGGAAGGTAACTGCTAAATATTCTATGCTTTTATTCATTCTTTAGTCTTTGTCCTACTTTTCAGTCCAGTCTAAATCCCCTGAAAATATGTGACTGTCTATCCCGCATAAACCCCCCGTTAAAAAAAGTTTTAGTACAAAAATATGATAAACTAGATCAACGAGGAAAGGCGGCGTTCAATGACCGCAACCCATAAACAACCCAGCAACAAGAACCAATGGCAAGGTGCCCAGGCGGACCCAAAGCAAAAACAGGACAGGGCACAAGGCAGAGCACGAACAGGCTAATCACTAAAATGATAAATTATTTGTAACTGATGAGGAATTCAAAGAAAACAAATAAATGATTGAATAATAGGATGTAATTTGTAACTGATAACGAATTCAAAGAAAACATAATAAGTGTCACGTATATCTGGATAAACGCCTACGTGTGCCTATGAAAAGTAGGTCAACGACTCAAGTAAAAATACTGAAACATCTCAAACAGCTGAAATCGCTTCATGTTGCTCATTTTGAACTGTTAAAATAGGTCTCTTTTTTCCTATTTAAGCGTCTTACTACTTCGGAATCAATAAAAAATAGATTAAAAATAATAATATAATAATAAAAGATAAAAAAAAGCAAAACCGAAACAATTTTGTACCGCTTTTCTGCGGCTTTATTGCCTTGTATGAATAAGGTTTTAAATATCCCACAGCATTATGTATTCATAAAAGTTTAAGCATGAGAACGAGGGAGTCTGGCTATGATACTGATCTTAATCCTAATATTACCGAAGAATTACATAAATATCTAAGACTTGCATTTAACATTATTTAATATTTTAAGAGAACACGTAAAACGTCTGATATACTCTGTGCATGCGCAGGTGCAACTTTGTTACACGTATTTGTTTTAAACTGGCTTTTAACGAGAGTAGCTTTTTGTTACTTTACGCGCTATTTTTCAAGATTAGAACAGCTGATTAATAAAAGATTAACGTGTCTCGCCTTTTAAACAATGAGTGACAAAGTCAAATAATGCAAGATAATTTACCTGGCATTGATAGTGTGTTTACCTGACACGATATAAATGCCAAGAAAACAGAATCTGTGTCAATAAATTGGAAGTCAAAGAGGAAATAATTTGGAAACAACGTGTGCAACAATGCGCGCCAAGATATAATTTGGTAGAATGTTATTTATGAGAAATTATCAAAGAATGAACAGTCCTTGAGCGATTTACAAAAGTTTGATTTTAGTATAATCAACTTAACTTTCAACCGTGGTTTCATGAAAAAAAGAAACATTTGTAAAGTCTTTTTTAATAATCGTCCTTAAAATAGTTTAAGCTGATTACAATTATATGTTCTATCTATTATAGTTTTTGATCAAAACCCAAAATTTAGTAAAATTTTAAAATTCTTAACCCTTTTAAATTTAAAAAAATCGTTTTATTATTTAAAAGCGATTAAATTTTTATTTTTTGTGCCAAAAGGGCATACAACGCGACAGTAGAAATTTCCCAAATGTTGTTGTCAGTTATTAAAAAAATACGCTTCCCTTACATAAATTACACTCTAATTATATATGTGTGTGTCTATTCTGACTGTCCTCTGGATATGTTAAGTGGTTAATGATGAAGGGACTTAATGATATATTCTATGGAATGATGGTTTCTTTTCTATCTCCGGCAGATCCGCCAACATTTAGGGAACTTTAGATTGATAATTGAAGTGTTTGATTCAAATGTTTTTAGTGTTGAGGATTAAACACCACTTAAGCCGGTGCTTTGGGGGGGGGTGAGTCATGAGAGATGTCGCATTGGAACATTTGTCTCTTATGACAGACGCAGGTATACCGAGTCTGCAAATTTCAACATTTGCTTATTTTTATTGTTTGTCGAGAGATCTGTCCTGTTCGATTGTTCTCGATGCCCTTTTATATTGTTCTAATGTCTTTTTCTAGATTTTATAATGCCTTTTCAAGATTGTTCTAATGCCCTTTTTTCTATATTGATCTAATGCCTTTTCTATATTGTTCTAAAATGCCCTTTTTTCTATATTGATCTAATGCCTTTTTTATATTGTTCTCATGCCTTTTCTATATTGTTTCTAATGTCCTTTTCTAGGTTGTTATAATGCCCTTTTCAAGATTGTTCTAATGCCCTTTTTCTATATTGATCTAATGCCTTTTTTTATATTGTTCTAATGCCCTTTTCTATATTGTTCTAATGCCCCTTTCTATATTGATCTAATGCCTTTTTATATTGTTCTCATGCCCTTTCTATATTGTTCTAATGTCCTTTTCTAGATGTTATAATGCCCTTTTCAAGATTGTTCTAATGCCCTTTTTCTATATTGATCTAATGCCATTTTTTATATGTTTCTAATATGTCCCTTTCCTAATTATTCTAATGTCCTTCTCTAGATTATTCAATGCCTTTTCTAATTGTTTAATACCATTTTTTCTAAATTTTTCTAATCAATTAACAACGAGAAGATATCAGATGGCCTAGTTTAATAGAATGTTATTCGTCCCATTTTCAAGACTTTAAAAACTAGGAGATAGGGAATTTTGTTATTTTGAGATAGTTTCATTTTAGAAGTGCACCATCAAGGTGCAAAATATCAAACCAAATGAAATGCGCTAGAGATATACAAATCTTTAGTGTGAGAAAATGTTTTTGGCGAATAAATGAGACTATATATAAATAAAATGTTGTAAATGGTTCAAGGAAAGGGGGTTTGCACATGAAACGTGGAATATGTAAACAATTTTCTCATAACAATGTCAGTTTTGATAGCAGGTGTAAAATTATTATGAAATTTGTTTCAACTGGCTTTCATCGGGAACACCGTTTGTTGCATATTTAAATGGTTCAAAGGAATTTAATGTATACATCTTGCAAAAACATTCTGCATGTAATAAATGGGCTATTAAGGAACACAATATGGTTACGTTGATAAATTTCTCTAGAGAAATATCAAAGCTGTAAGCCTATGAGAGCTCGAAGATTTTGTCAAAGTGCCTTCAAAGGTTGTTTCACATTGTAGTTAAGAAGTGAAAATAAATTACAATCGGAAACGAAATGAAAGACATGTATTAACATTTTTCATTTGTTTTGTGTTTGTTTTTTTCTCTCTTTTTTTTTTTTGGGGGGGGGGGGGGGGTGGGGATGTGGGTGTTTTGTTTTTCGTTGTTGTATTTTGTGTGTTTCTGTATTTTTTTTCATTTTTTGTGTGTAGGTGGGTAGGAGTTGGGGACGGATTTCTTGTTTTGGAAAATTGCGTGGTGCTTTATAACTTTTTAACCTCCTGCTGTTAAAGATGTTTGATATTTGTCCTTACTGGCGCCGTCATGTCTTCAATTCTATCCAACGTGATTCTAAAATTGAGCCGCGTCATGACAAAACCAACATAATAGGTTTGTGACCAGCATGGATCCAGACCAGCCTGCGCATCCGCGCAATCTGATCAGGATCCATGATGTTCGCTTTCAGTTTCTCTACTTGTAATAGGGTTTGTAAGCATCCTTATCAGACTGCGCGGATGCGCAGGCTGGTCTGGATCCATGCTGGTCGCAAACCCATTATGTTGGTTTTGTCGTGACGCGGTTCAAATATGCAAGCCGGTGCAAGATTATAAATTATAAAAATGACAACAAAATTCGCAACAATTGCTTTGGATGAAAATGTTAACTTTGCTTTAAAATATATTCCCACGGTTATAAAAGCTTAAATGTTATCACCCGACAGGCAAAATTATTCATAACAATCTATATAAGAAATTGAAAGGATTAAATGTAAAATCCCTTTCCAGAAATATAAAAAATAAAAATGTAACCCCCATTTCTATTTAACCTGCAAAGATTAAATATTAAGATCAATACTCGTGATTCTGTATTATTTCATCTAAATATAAGAAAAAAAATAATACACGTTTAGATTTCTTTTTTTTTTTGTGAGTTTATCAAATCAAAAGTAATGACCATCCCCAGTAAACTTGAAAAAAGAAAACCGCAGCCTAGGGAAAGAATTTTTACCCTCGCCCTCGAAACAATGTCAGAGGGTCACCTGGGGTTTTTTTTTTCTTCGGGGAATTAAAAAAATTTCCCCTTTTGATCTAACGGTGGGGATGCGAAGAAAGTCTTTTAAAAATTTTTTAATCTTGAAAACCCTTGGGGGACAGACACAGATAATAAACAATCTACTTCCCCCCCTCCCCCACCATTTGTACAAAGAAACGAATACAGTTTATTTCTTTCCTTTCTTTAAAGGTTGCGAATTTAATCAGATTGCTTATGTAAGTTTGAGTCAATACAAAAAAGAAAAACCTGATATTTAAGTAAAAGTAAGTTACATTCGCCCCACCACACAGGCACGTGTTAAATCTAGAAAAAGAAGACAAATATAAAGTGAACATCTTAGCAGATTTATAGAGAAAATAATTTGTTTTAAACTGGCTTTTAATGAATATACCATTTATTTCTTTACGCGCTTATACTTATATCAGGGTCATAACAGCTGAAAGATAACCGTTTAAAATGTCAATGATCACCAATCCAACCAGACATTATAAATGTATATTGTGGTATTCGCCGTTAAATGTTAAAAATGTTGAATCCTGCTTAAACCGGTGCTAGGGAGAGGTGCATGTACGGTATCATGCAATTATCACTACCGTCTATGTGCATGCACAATCCATCACTACCGTCTATGTGCATGCACAATCCATCACTACCGTCTATGTGCATGCACAATCAAACAAAGCCTGAATCATTTTAATTTTGCCATTTTAGACGCATTTGAGAGATGATGTTTACCGTTATTTTGTTTATATAGCGCAAAATGAATGCCAAATGAACCGATATTTTCCTTCATTTATTAACAAACATAAGATCAAAAATGAAAATTTTGATATCAAACTGTGAAACAGTATATGCACAAGTATAAAATTTGGAAGATCTTATTCAGGAGAAATTATTTGTCGTTTTTCATTTATTAAAACACGAAAGGAGTCAGAGT